TTATCCCTATTTTCTTGGGCTGTTGGCACTTGATTAGATAAGATCTTAATCTTCTTGATTTTCTTGTGCTGTTGGCACTTGATTGGATAAGATCTTGATCTTCTTGATTTTCTTGTGTTGTTGGCACTTGATTGGATAAGATCTTGATCTTATTGATTTTCTTGTGCCAATATTGTTGTTGACCAAACAAGAGTTTGTTGTCCTTGTTCTTTGGGATTTTGGGTTAAGACTCAATCTTTGAAATCGTCCTTGATCCTTGCTTGCTGGTATTTTATCCCTTGATGTGGCTTGGGTGATTGGGGGACTCCAAACTCAAGCCTTTGTTGTGGCTTGAGTTCTTCTCTTTTGGGCATTAGTACCCTTTTCTCCCTGCAAAACATCTTAAATAAAATTAAAAAGAAACATGAATACTAACTTATCCTAATCCTAATAATTGAAAATATGAAAATAAAAAAATTGCAAGAAATTAAAATACTGAAACTAAGTTGCATAATTTTAAAAACTTCCTAATTGAACTTTGGGCTGCCTCCCAAAAGCGCTTATTTTATAGTCTTCAGCCTGACTTGGATTGATCATCAAGGTGGCTTGAAGCAAAGAGCGAAGAACAACTTTGATTCTTCGATCCAACTCTTCTCGCATGTAGACTCCTTCATCTTGACATTGGGCTTGCCTCCAACCTTTAATGATTGAGGATCATCGAGGTTTGTTATTCCATCTTCTATATATTCAATGGTATGCACCTGATCTCCATCCATCTTTAAAATCAAACCACTATTCCACATGTCTACCATAAATTTTTGAGTATCAAAGAATGGTTCCTCAAGAAATTGAGAAATAGTAGCATCTTCCTTTGTGTCAAGCATCACAAAATCTACCTGGTGTGGAAAGCTTCCTATCTTGACATTCATATTTTCAACATTGCCAATTGATGCTTTGATGGAGCAATTAGAAAAATGTAGAGTCATCTTTGTAGACCTTATGCTCCTTATTCCCATCTTTTCTAGTAGAGTCATAGGCATCAATTTCACATTAGCCTCAAGATCACTCAAGGTTTGCACTTTTTGCATGGCATCTTGTTGCTTTTGTAGCCTTTGAGGTAAAGGAGATGGTGGTATGATTGTCTTGCTGACGATCTGACCCTGCTGTAGTTTTGCTATAGCAGTACTCTCAGTGCCAGCAATTTGAGATTCTTCGGGTTGATCATAAAATTCTACCTCTTCAGCAACTTCTTCACTCTGATTTAATGCATTCTGCTTCTGCTCATGGTAGTTCTTTATAACTTCTGGTTCATCTACGGCTTCACCACCTGATATTGCTATAGCATTGACATGTTCTTCTCCATTCTTTATTTCAATGGCTTTGATATGCTCCAATTCATTTCTCCTTGGATACTCTGTCCTGCTAGGAAGTGTGTCATATTGTTTGATTTTGATTGATTCTGCCAATTGTCCCATCCGAGTTTCTAATTTTTTGATAGATGCAGTTTGGTTCTGGATAAGGGCATCACTTCTTGCCATAAAGTCTTTCAGCATGCTTTCTAGCAAATTTGATGTATCAACTTGTTGACTAGGCTGTTGCTGTGTTGAATGTAATTCTGTTTGAATGTGTTGTTGTAGCAGAGAATTCTTGTTGTTGTCCTTGTGAATATGAAAGAATTGAGTTATTACCCCATTCTTGATTGTAGGTGTTTGAATATGAACTGTTCATGTTATAGTTTCCTACAAAACAAACAGATTGAGGGTTTTTTGGACAGTTATCATAAACATGAGGACCATTACAGAAAACACATGATATAGCATTGGTTATGGCATGCACTTGATGTGCTCTAGCATTGGCAGAGAGGTTGAGTGACTTGATTGTATCATTCAAAGATGAAATGTGTTCTGCCAACACTGATACAACATCATGCTCTAACACTCCAACAACATTCTTTGGTGTATTCATTCTTTCTGTTGACCACTGGTAGTTGCTAAATGCCATCCTCTCTAGGATTTCATATGCTTCAGTGAATGTCCTAGCTAAGAGAGCTCCTCCGGCTGATGCATCAACTACACCCCTTGTTTGATCATTAAGTCCATCGTAAAAAGTCTCAATCTGTATCCATTCTGGTATACCATGATTAGGGCATTTCTGCAGCAATTCCTTGAATATGTCCCATGCTTCATAAGGTGTTTCACCATCATATTGCTGAAATGCTGCTATATCATTCTTTAACTGAATTGCTTTTGTGGGAGGAAAGAATTTCATCAAGAACTTTTCAGCCATGTCCTCCCATCTACAGATGGAATTTGGTTGTAATGTGTTCAACCATGCCTTAGCCCCGTTAGTGAGAGAGTAGGAAAATAGCTTCATCTTCAATGCATCTGATGTAACCCCTTGTATCTTGAAGCTATCTGCTACCTTCATGAAATTTTTGATGTGGAGAAGTGGATCTTCACTAGGCATCCCATTGAATAGGCCAATTGTTTCCAGCATCTCAAACATGATCGGTTTCAATTCAAAATTTTGTGCTGCAATTTTTGGTTGAACAATTGGAGAACGAAGGTTTTTGAGTGCCAGGATTCTTTGTGCGTTGATTGAGATCTCAGATTGAATTGGCTCTTCATTGCTAGCTCTTACTTCTGCCATTCTTGCTGCCATATTAGGTAATGCTGTAGCGTTGCTACGTCTTTGGTGTCTCATTCGAGCTTGAGACGTCCTTTCAGTTTCAAGGTTAAAGTTCACTTCTTGCTTGGTTGGAGAAATGCTCAAACGCTGCAATTAACACTTGAAAACAGAAAAGAAGAAAGGTGAAAGAAAAGAAATAGAAAAGAAAAGAAAAGATAGAAAGAAGAGAGAATTTATTCACTTAAATAAAAAGCTTTAAAGAAATTATCCCCGGCAACGGCACCAAAAACTTGTTGTGCAATTTGAAATCAATTAAATCAATCCCCAAATATGCAAGTACATGTGTCATAAGTAATAAAGGGATGTGTGAGTCCAAGTATCGTTCCCACGGAGATAATTTATAAAGCAATGATTATTTAAGTAAAGAAACTAGAAAAGGATTAATTTTTATGGTTGGGTTTGTAAAATAAAAGATAATTAAACTAAGAAAACAATAAACTAATTCCAGGGTATTAAAATGATGGATGAGATATAGGTCAGGTTCAATTTCCCAGATACAGCAATACTGAAACGATGCTATATCAATGCTTAATTAGTAATCGAACACTAAGGTATGCTGGGGCTTTTGGCCAACCTAACATATATACCCAATAACTAATTCTCACATCTCTATGGCAAAACTAATTACTAAATTGTTAAAGTTCAAGTTCAAAGGCTATGTGGGGTGAATAATCTCTCTACCCACAACTTAATCAAGTTAAATTTCTTAACCTAATTAATCCACACAATTCAACAAGGGTCTGGATTCGGAAACCTCTCGGCCCCAACCTCCTCAATATCACACATGTATCTCTCGACATGCACACATGAATAAGAATAAGAAAACTCGTTGAATAACTAATTAAACATCAATAAAACAAAGTTTAGGCATACATCTCAATGTTACAACATAGGTACTTTATCACCTAACCTATAGAGCAAATTAGCTCATAATGGAATTAAACAAAATAGAGAAAAGGAAGAAAGAACTAATTGGAAAAAAGAAAAGAAGATGAAAACGAATGTTGTAGGAAAACTCCGTCACAGTCTTGCTCCAGCAGCTCTTCCTCCTCCAAGAATCTTACTTTCTCTCTCTAAAACATGGTGTGGGTGCTACATTCTTCCCAGCCTTCTTGAATTCGTAATGTAGTCCTCTTTAAATAGGAAAAGGTGGTTGGTTATTTGGGCTTTAGGTTTGGGAGTGAAAATTCATGAGTTGTGCTGTTGCAGCCTTATCTTATCCCTATTTTCTTGGGCTGTTGGCACTTGATTGGATAAGATCTTAATCTTCTTGATTTTCTTGTGTTATTGGCACTTGATTGGATAAGATCTTGATCTTTTTGATTTTCTTGTGCCAATAATGTTGTTGATCGAACAAGAGTTTGTTGTCCTTGTTCTTTGGGATTTTGGGATAAGACTCAATCTTTGAAATCGTCCTTGATCCTTGCTTGCTGGTGTTTTATCCATTTGTTGGAAATTAACTAACTTTTGAAATTCAAAAGTTCGGTTGTTCCTTTGTCCACGCTGTCATGCTGTAGCGATTGCTATATCATCATTTCTTCAGCTCATTTGCTACAGCATTCCTACGTCAATTTTTCCTGCAAAGACAAACACTTAACAATTCATCTTTTCTTATACGAAATCAAGGAATATTGTCTTATTTTCCATACTTAGTCATCTCAAAGCACTTAATCATAAGTATACAATAATTAGCTCAATTATCATGCAAACAAGACAACTTATATGGAATTTATGTAGCAAATTCATCAAAAAAATACTAATTTAACTCTCTTTTGGCAGAGTTATCAGATGACAGCTAATCATCTACCACCATCGGAGGAGGAATTGATGGTGTCAATCTTGGCTCCACAGTTCACAAGGCCAAATTCTAGCATCATCAGACCACCAATCAAAGCCAATAATTTTGATATCCAGCCAGCACTGATAACCCTGGTGGAGAAAAACCCATTTGGCGGGGAAGACTATGGAGACCCCCATGATTTCATAGACAAATTTCTGAGGATCTATGACACTACCAGGCATAACGGGGTGTCAGATGATGCAATTAGACTCCGACTGTTCCCTTTTGCTGTAACAGTGAAAGCTCTCGAATGGTTGGATAGACAAGCCCCCATAAGCATCAGAATTCTTCGTGGGATGAGCTGGCAGCCAAATTCTTCGCAGAGCACTTCTCTAGGGAGAAATACAACAAGTTGGTGAATGAAATAACCAACTTCACTCAACAACCAGGAGAAACTCTATGTGCAGCTTGGACCAGATTCCAAGAATTGATCAAAAGGTGCCCCGCGTATGATCTGCCAGACGGAAAGAAGGTCAGAGTCTTCTATAATGGAATGACACCAGACTCTAGAATGGTTGTCAATGGTGCAGCCGGTGGGACCATAGCAAGGAAGACAGCAGCTCAAACTTTGGAGCTGATCGACTTCATGGCGAGGACTGAGAACGCATCAATGGCAGTTCAACCAACTCAACCAGTTCAACTAAGAAGGGGAATTCTGCAGTTGGGAAACAATAGTGCATCACTTGCAGAAAAAAAGATCCTATCTCAACAGATAGCTAGTTTGAATGCAAAGTTGGACAAGTTGCAACTTTCCACAGCCCAAGTTGACTCGGTTAACTGTGAGTATTGCAAAGGCGAGCATGAGAGTAACGTGTGCCCAACATTGGTAGAAATAGATGTTGTACAAGTTAATGGAGTCTGGTATGAACCAAAACCACTGCCAAATTTTCAAAGAAACCATAACAATGCTCCAGGAAACAACTACCAATGGAGAATTCAAGGGGGAGGTCTGGATTACAAATCCAACAATTATTTACAACCTCCTTCAATTCCACAAACTCCACCATCTGAGCTAGAGAGAGCGCTGATACAGTTGACAAAGAAAACTAACACCTTCATGAATGAGATAAGGGCTCATCACAAAAATCAGGATGCATCTCTCAGAAACTTGGAAAACCATATTGGCCAACTGTCAAGACAACTAGAAGAAAGGACTAAAGGTCAGTTTCCAAGTAACACAATAATCAATCCTCGAAAAGAATGCAAGTCAATTGTTACAAGAAGCGGAATTGTCATCACTCCTCAAGAAAAACCGAAGGCGGTTCAAAAAAAGAAAGCAGACGAACCAGTTCTTGAACCAGAGAAAGAAAAAGAGGAGGAAACACCTGCTAAAAAAGACAAACAGGAAGCAAAGGAGAAAGCTGCAGAGACTCCAAAGAAGCAATGGGATTTCTCTCTCTTTGAGAAACCACCTTATCCCATAAAGTCAAGGCAAGCACAGAAGCAACAACATGCCAGGTTTTTAGAAATATTAAAAAAGATGCAAATTAATATTCCATTTGCTGAAGCTTTAGCTAATATGCCTAACTATGCTAAGTTTATGAAAGAACTGTTGTCTAGAAAGCATAAGTTGCCGGAATGTGAAACAGTGGCTCACACAGGAGTGCAGTGCCATAATTCAAAGAAAGTTTCTACCAAAGCTTCGAGATCCAGGGAGTTTCAACATCCCAATTGCGATAGGCAACATTAATGTCGGTCGGGCATTGTGCAATCTTGAAGCAAGCATCAACCTTATGCCGCTGACTGTGATGAAATCTCTCGGAATTTCTGAATTGAAGTCAACAATAGTATTGCTCCAACTTGCTGACAGGATGTTGAGAAGACCAAACAGAGTAATAGAAGACTTACTTGTCAAAGTGGACAAGTTCAACTTCCCTGCTGACTTCGTAGTCCTCGACATGGAAGAAGAAGGAGACATGCCTCTTTTGTTAGGTAGGCCATTCCTTGCCACAACAAGAGCTATGATTGATGTGGAAAACGAAAAGCTGGAATTGAGAATAGACGACGAAAAAGTCACCATCGATGTGTTCAAAGTTATGAAGCATGCAGAGGATAATGGTGATTGTTTCCGGGTGCACGTTCTCGAAGAACTTTTCCTTGAAAATAAAGAAGATCAGACTCTTAAAGAAGAAAAGGAATTCTTTGATGAAAATCCTCCGAAGGAAGATGCTGAAATTCCAACAGAAGAGTTGAAAAAGAAAGAGTCAGACATCATAAATGAAGCACCAAGGGTGGAATTAAAAGAACTTCCACCTAATCTAAAATACGATTTCTTAGGAGATGAAGAAACGTATCCTGTCATCATCAACAAGGAGCTATCTGAGACTAAAGAAACCAAGTTGATGAAAGTGCTCAAAGACCACCAAACAGCCATAGGTTGGTCCATCTCCGATCTTAAAGGAATCAATCCTTCCTTTTGCACTCACAAAATACTGATGGAAGACGACATCAAACCTGTGAGACAACCTCAGAGATGAATCAATCCTACTATGAAAGATGGAGTTCGGAAGGAAGTAGTGAAACTCCTTGATGTCGGAATGATCTACCCAATCTCAGACACTATATGGGTAAGTCCTGTCCAAACAGTGCCAAAGAAAGGCAGAGTTACATTGATCAAGAATGAGAGCAATGAACTGATTCCCACCAGAACCATAACTGGGTGGAGGATGTGTGTGAATTACAGAAGACTAAATGATGCCACACGGAAGGATCACTTTCCTCTCCCTTTCATTGATCAAATGCTGGAGCGATTGTCCGGAAATGCATATTATTGTCTCCTAGACGGTTACTCCGGCTACAACCAGATACCTGTTGCACCAGAGGATCAAGAAAAGACGGCTTTCACTTGCCCCTTTGGAGTGTTCACCTACAGAAGAATGTCGTTTGGTCTCTGCAATGCACCTGCTACTTTTCAAAGGTGCATGCTTTCCATCTTTTCTGATATGCTTGAAAAATCATTGGAGGTATTTATGGACGACTTCTCAATTTTTGGTTCTTGCTTTGATTCATGCTTAGTTAATTTAGCTAAAGTATTGAGGCGTTGTCAAGAAAAAAACTTAGTTCTAAATTGAGAAAAATGTCATTTTATGATAAAAGATGGAATAGTACTAGGCCATAGAATTTCTAAAAAAGGGATAGAAATTGATAAAGCTAAATTGTTGTTAATTGAAAAACTTCCCCCTCCTGCTAATGTGAAGGGCGTTCGGAGTTTCTTAGGCCATGCAGGTTTTTACAGACGATTCATCAGGGAATTCTCTAAGATTACAAAGCCATTGAGTCAACTGTTGATGAAGGACACTGAGTTTAAATTTGATGAAGAATGCCTGAAGTCCTTTAATCTGCTGAAGGAAAAGCTGACAACCGCGCTTGTCCTGATGGCGCTTGATTGCAACCTTCCTTTTGAGCTCATGTGTGATGCAAGTGCATACACAATTGGAGTAGTACTTGGTCAGCGTAAAGATAAACTATTATATGTCATATATTATGCTAGCAAGGTGTTAAATGAGGCACAAGTAAATTATGCCACAACTGAAAAAGAAATGCTAGCTGTAGTATATGCATTAGATAAATTTAGACCTTACTTGATAGGATCTAAAGTTATTGTTTTTACTAACCATTCTGCATTGAAGTATCTCATGAGTAAACAGGATGCGAAGCCTCGGCTGCTGCGTTGGATGCTTCCATTCCAGGAATTTGATATGGAGATTTGAGAAAAGAAGGGAGTTGAAAACAAAGTAGCAGATCACTTGTCAAGGACTCAAGACAAAGAACTGCAAGATGGACCTGAGATTGAAATAAAAGAATCCTTCCCTGATGAACAAGTGATGGTAGTTCGATCCGGACCATGGTTCGCTGAATTTGCGAATTACAAAGCTGTGAGATCAATTCCTGATGAACTCACATGGCAACAGAAAAAGAAGTTCTTGCATGATGCAAAGCGGTACTACTGGGATAACCCATACTTATATTTCCAATGTACTGACGAGATTATTCATAGGTGTGCAGCTGAGATGGAGATTCCAAAGATTCTTTGGCATTGCCACGTGTCAGATTGTGGAGGACACTTTGGTGGGAATAGAACTGCACAGAAGGTCGTAGAAAGTGGGTTTTACTGGACCATAATATTCAAAGACTCGAAGGAGTTCGTAGAGAAGTGCGACAGATGTCAGAGGATGGGAAACATATCCCGAAAGGACGAGATGTCACTGAATTGCATACTGGAAGTGGAAGTCTTCGATGTATGGGGAATTGACTTCATGGGACCCTTCCCTGTGTCGTATTCCAACCAATACATCATGGTTGTTGTGGACTATATGTTCAAGTGGGTGGAAGTAGTACCCCAATCGACAAACGATGTTAAGGTAGTCGTGGCCTTCCTATAGAGGAATATCTTCACCTGATTCGGAGTTCCAAGAGCCATCATCAGTGATGGAGGAAACCACTTCTGCAACAAGCAATTTGAGTTTCTTCTCAAGAAGTATGGAGTCACACACAAAGTGGCCACACCATATCATCCTCGGACAAGCGGACAAGTGGAGATTTCCAATAGAGAGCTGAAGCAGATCCTGGAAAATACTGTGAGCAACACTAGAAAGGACTGGGCAAGGAAGCTTGACGATGCACTCTGGGCATACAGAACAGCTTTCAAGACTGCCATAGGTATATCACCATTCCAACTGGTGTACGGTAAGTCCTGTCATCTCCCTGTTGAATTAGAACATAAGACTATCTGGGCAACTAAATTTCTGAATTTTGAACCAACTAAAGCTAATGAAAAATGATTACTGCAATTACATGAGTTGGATGAGTTCAGGTTAGCTGCTTATGAGAATGCCAGGATCTACAAGGAGAGGACAAAGAGGTGGCATGATAGGAAGATAGCTCCGAAAGAATTTGAGCCGGGACAACAGGTATTATTGTACAATTCTCGACTGAGATTGTTTCCAGGTAAACTTAAATCCCGCTGGTCAGGTTCCTTTGTTGTAAAAAAGGTATACCCTTATGGAACAATAGAAATTTCTCCTATAGACACTGATTATCCTTTCAAGGTTAATGGTTGTAGGCTGAAACTAAACTATGGAGGACAGGTGAATCAAGACAAGATTTCTGTCCCTCTGACTTCACCCAAGTCTTAGACTGTTCACGTCAGGCTCGTGACGTTAAACAAGCGCTCATTGGAAGGCAACCTAGTAGCAAAATTTTAATTTCTTGTTTAAATTTTATTTTAGTTGATTTAATTTTTAGGTTAGATGAAAACAAAAATTAAATAATGGTAAAAATGGGTGATAAGAAGCAAAAAGATAAGTCTGGGAACTGGCACTGCTAGCGTAAAGATCGCGCTAGTAGCACCAGAAAACAAAACTCCACAGTAAGTATCACGCTTTTAGCGCCATGTTGGTGCTGTCAGCGTGAGAATTCCACAAGAAAGTCCACGTTGTAAGCGTGGGTATAGCGCTCACAGCGTGAATCCCACGCTGTCAGCGTCAGAAACTCACGAAGGACTCGGGCTAATAGCGTGAGATTCACGTTAACAGCGCCAAAGGGTCCAAAACTTACATAGAGCTTCGCGCTAACAGCGTGAACCCCACGCTGTCAGCGCCAGCCCCAAAATCAAAATTTTAAAATTAAAACCCTAAATTTTCCCCCTCCTCTAATCTTCTTCCTCTGCCGTCAGCCCTTCCCCCTCTCTTTCACTCTTCTTCCATCTCACTTTCTCTTCCTTCCGACCACCATTCTCAGCCGCAGACCACTCCCTTCTTCTCTCTCAAACTCTTTTCCTCTTCTCTACTCTCTCACCGGGAACACCACCACCATCTCCTTCTCCCTCTCATCTTCATTCCCATTGCACCAACCAAGAACCCTAACCACCGCACACCCAAACTCCGTCGTGCCTCACCTTACTCTAATCGTTCCTCACACCTTCGACCAACACCCTTCTCACCACAACCTGACCACCACATAACCATCACCACCCCATTATTTCAGCCACTGTATTGGTGACCACCAAAGTCATAAACCACCATTGTAAAGAACCACAGCAAGCCCGATTTGAGGTTTCTACTACACTAGGGATTACAAAAAAAATTTACAGCCATGGCAAGAGACAAGATATTACTCTTAATTCTCTGATATCTTTTGGTTCCTGAATTGTTTTCATTCACAACATTGGTTGGATTTTATGATTGAAATAGCCCACTGCTCATACTGATAGATAGTTGGATTGAATGATTTTTACATACACTATGCTCTGATTAAAATTCTTTGATTGTGCAAGAGGATTATTAATTTTTCCATGGTTTGGTTGATGCCTCCTATTTAAACATGCACGAATAATGTTTGATATAATGTTGAAGGTACAAGATAGAAGAATATAAATATTATGTGCACAAAGAGTAAATTGGGAATTTGCTGGGGTTGATTACATACGGGATGGCATATACACAATTCATGATTTTGGGTATTTGTTTGGTGCATAAAAGGACAGTGAAGATATTGGCTGAGTAATGTGTGACCTTGTGGGCTGAATAGATTTTGTGTCTTCTTTGCTATTCATAATTGAGGAATGCCTGTCATGTTACCAAATTAGATTCATTGTGTTGGTAATCATTAGACACTTATATTTAGAATGGGATGCAATGGTATTAGAATTCTGATGATGAATTTTCTTGTGTAAACTGATAATGTACATTGAGGATTTATATATGTGAGCAACTTGGACTGTCTACACATTATTCTGAAGATGATTTTCTCTTCACTGCCACATAGTATTAGGATTCATAAATGTTAATTCTAAAGTTAAGACACACAAGTTACAGTATTTGGTTGATGTTGGTATACCGCAATTGATGAAATGGTATATTGATAGAATTACATAACTTTGAACTCGTATTGCTGATATTGCCAGTCCTACTCGAGTTATTGAGCCACTATCATGAACCAAAATCTGGGAATTGGTTCTAAGCATATACGTTGAGTTGTGGAGCTATAGATAATTTAAACCTGTATTGTCATATTGATTGAAAATACATCCCTGATGAATATTGTTTTCTATTGGTATTTTCTGTGTGCAGGGTAAACAATCGGTGAAAAATAAAAAAAGGGAACTACATGTTGTAAGAAGACTGGCAGCTCCTCTGGTACAAAGAGGCCCAGGGCCTCTTCATCTTCTTAGTTTGACAGTACCAGGTTCCCGACACCTGACAACCAAGACCGGTACTTCAAATGGTACCTGCCCAAGAAGATTATTTCAGAGAGGCCAATAAGCTATTCCTTGGATGAGGATTGTCCAGTCTGGCAAACAATTGAGAGAAGAAAGTGAAAGACACTAGTGAGATTCCTTGAGCCCAGCTCCAGCACAGTATTAAAGGAGTTTTGTGATAATGCTGACAATGAGACCGTGGCGGAGACCAGGAAGACTTGGGTGAGAGGGAAGGAAGTCTTTTTTGCTGTTTCAGCAATAGACAGCTACCTTCAGACC